ACCAGAGCAGCGCATGGAAATGCCGTTTACCTTCCCGTCAGAGTGGTACCTATTTATCTACTTGCACTTTGATGTGCTTTCGAACTGCTAGGTGGGCAGGAGCAGGGACCGAGCAACAGGAGCTCACCCCGTCATGGGGATTCGAACCGCTGACCTTCTGACCAGCAAGCCCTAGGCTCTGTGGTTTAACCCACAGCGCCACCCGCGTCCCTTGTAAGGGAATAGCTGAAGGTATTGGTGAATTTCTGACGAGGGTCACCAGAGTTGAGTCTTGATCCTCCACCTTCCTGCATGGAAGCCTTCTTCCGACGATTTCCAACTTTCTGACTCTTGCCTGCAGCTGTGTCTTTACCAGACAGACAGTGTGGCATAACGGTTCGAGTGCTGGACTGCGACCTGGGAGACCAGAGTTTGACCACCGGAGACCAGGCATGAAGCTCGCTGGGTGACCTTGGGCCAGTCCCTGTCTCTTGGCCCAAACTACCTCACCAGGTTGTTGTGAAGGTAAAATGGGGAAGGGGAGAAGCACGTGCAACACCTTGGAAGGGAAAAGTGATATATCAATGTAAAAAATACAATCAACCACGGCTTGAACTTCAGGCATCAGCAGCTGATCCTGCTAATCTCCCATGTCGTTAAATAAGTTGGAGTTCTTGTTATTAAATAAGCCAAGACAAAAGCACACCAAGAACTCAGGCCAATATAAGTTTCAGTAGTGGGAGTGGTCCCTACTCGCAAATCAATAGTCAATTGTAACAAAAACTAATCCATTCAAAAGTATGTATTCTGACAAGGATTACAAACTCAAATAGAGATCACAAACCCAAACTCATAAGGATATGCATAACACAATAATTCATTACAGTATTAAAGATAAGAGTTTATGAGTAGAGCTAAGTTCATGTTAGTCCATGGTCAGTTTTGACGTGAAGATCTTAGTTTCAATCACTGACCAGAAGTCAGAAGTCAGTTATGGATCAGAAACCAGGACAGGGCCCTGTTTCGATGTATTCACCTTCATCAGCTGGAAGTATCAAGCATTACATGAAAATACATTTAAATTCTAAATTATTGTAAAGTATAAAACAGTCGTGCAAAATGTTGCCAGCTGATTTCTGCTGATCAAGTGGCGTAGCAACCATGAGAGAGGGCAGGATGGACACAGATACCCCCCCCCCCGACAGCTGGTCATTGTGGACTTCCTTCCAAATCCCTAATATGTCCGCGATGCCTGTAGCTAATTGGTAGGACGGTGAACAAACGCCATCCGTGCTCAGAGGTAATTCTCCGCAGTTGTTTTCAGCAGCAAAACTCCTGTGCTGGGCCTGGGGGTAACCCATGAAATGTGGTCCTTGTCCAGTCCAAACTCCGGAGGTTCCTCTGGGAGACAGTCCAACAGGGTCAAGGCAGGACACAAGGCAGGATACCAGGCAAGGACAGGTACAGGATCTCAGGCAGGGTCTGGCATACAGCAATGTTGCTCCCACAACCTGGGGCGGGGTCCGACAGCCTTTTATCTTTGTTGGGGTAGCAGCCGGTCCTGATCCCCGGCGAATCACCTCCCTGTTTTGCCCGAAGGCAAGCACTCCTCCTGCGAGTAGTCAGGTCTCTCCTTCTCTCAGACCTCAGTCTCTGCAGCTCGGGAGACGTTGGTGGGTTACTAGACCCCTGACCCAACTGGTAGTGGAGCAGCTGTAAGTGATGGCCCAGCTGAAGGCAACGAGGTCATCCCCGCATCTGGAGCCAGGGCAGGCTCAGGCCCCTCACTCGGCCCAGCTGGTGCTTGTTGCAGGGGAACCTGTGCAGACTGGGACTCTTCAGGATCAGGCCCCAGACTTGGTTCAGATTATGCCTGAGGCAAAGGATCCGGTGCGGACTGAGACTCCTCTGGTTCCGAGTCCGAGCCCGAATCCCAGGCCACCACAGCTCCCAACGGAAACAATTGCACACCCGGTTTCTCACACAGCTCTTGAAGATTCCTCTTCCCACCTACCCCTGTGCTCTCCCTCCCAGTAAAACGAGCCTTGATATCAACAAACTCGTTTTCTTCAAGACATCAGAACCGTTTGGATGCAGATTGCAGCTCTGGGGGAGAGCGCAGATTCCCCAGAGTCTCATTCATGCGCATGGTAAATAAGCAGATGGCGTCAGTGTCTGTCCGTGGGAAGGCACAAGCAACACTGTAGTAAATTCTCCCTGTTCAATCTTTGCTCTTGAACAAAGGGGGGTCTGTTTTCTTCCCTCATCCCGGAGGGAGAAACAGGCCAATCTCTTGGCTGGGTAAGGGACAGACCAGGTAACCACAGGTTATCGATCTGTTTCTGGGCGCAATTTAAAGTGCTAGTTAGTTAAGTCCAGACTATCCAAAAGGCCATAGTTTCTCTCAGGAATTTGCCCAGGCTCTGAGGTCTTCAAGGAAGGCCCTTCTTCCAGACTCACAGGGACACAGGGCAGGGCCTTCTCAGTGGTGGCTGCTCCCAGACACCCTCCCTAGAGAAGCCAGACCTGCTCCCTCCTTGTTGTCCTTCCACCAGCAGGTGGAGACTCTCTTATCCCGAGATGCCTTTGGGAACTGGCTCCCCTCCTCTTTTTTTAAAGGACTTTTAATAGTACTATGCTGTTTTCATCACCTATATTTCAATAGGCTGGTTTTTTAAAAATCTTATGAATTTTTAAAAATATTATTTTAATTCCATTCGCGTTCAATTACTTTTAAACGATTGTTTTTAGCGAGCCGGGGTGAGCAGTGGTGAAAACAACTTGGGGCGCCTCCTCCCGAGGAGACGCATGCCTGGCACACGCCTGGTTGTCGTGGCCCCAGAGGCAGAGGAAGGTTGCCTTTGTCTGCTTCATCCGGCCATCGTTTTCCTCTGTTTTGCCAAAGCCTTACGTAATGAGGGACACACGAGTGTGGGCCTCGGTGGGCTTCTGTTTAGGCACGGTCAGTGACTCCTGTCCTTTCTCTAAGCCAGAGGGCGGCGTGGAGGGGGGGGCGCAAGTCACCGGAGCATCATTTGAGCAGCCGATGTGCTGAAGCGCCACTAAAAATAGAGCAAAATGAGAAACACGCTGCGGGGAACAGATGGGAGCATCGCTGCTGCACACACTTCCAGCTGCTTCAACTGCACCTGCCCAGGCTGCGTACGCATCGTGCATTTAAAGTGCATCTCCTCCCCATCAAGAACCCCGGGAACCATAGTTCACCCCCTCAGAGAACTACAATTCCCAGCACCTTAAAAAAAATCTATAGTTTCCAGGGTTCTCTATGGGGGTGGGGTGTGCGGGGTGTCCTTTAAATGTATGGCGTGGACCCAGCTTGTGGCTCTTTCCTATCTAAAACCTGCTACTCAGCCAGCAAAAGAACTAAGTCCCACTCGGACTGGAAGATTGGAATGCCCAGTGCTTTTTTTTCGGGGGGGGGATGCATTTGTTGTTGTTGTTTAGTCGTTCAGTCGTGTCCGACTCTTCGTGACCCTCTGGACCAGAGCACGCCAGGCACTCCTGTCTCCCACTGCGTCCCGCAGTTTGGTCAAACTCATGCTGGTAGCTTTGAGAACACTGTCCCACCATCTCGTCCTCTGTCGTCCCCTTCTCCTTGTGCCCTCCATCTTTCCCAACATCAGGGTCTTTTCCAGGGAGTCTTCTCTTCTCATGAGGTGGCCAAAGTACAGTCATACCTTGGGTTACAGACGCTTCAGGTTGCGTTTTTTCAGGTTACGGACGCTCCCAAACCCGGAAGTACCAGAACGGGTTACTTCTGGGTTTCAGAGGTCACAGAATCATAGAATCATAGAGTTGGAAGAGACCACAAGGGCCATCGAGTCCAACCCCCTGCCAAGCAGGAAACACCATCACAGCACTCCTGACATATGGTTGTCAAGCCTCTGCTTAAAGACCTCCAAAGAAGGAGACTCCACCACACTCCTTGGCAGCAAATTCCACTGTCGAACAGCTCTTACTGTCAGGAAGTTCTTCCTAATGTTCAGGTGGAATCTTCTTTCTTGTAGTTTGGATCCATGCACAGAAGCGCTAAATTGCTCTTTGCGCATGCACAGAAGCGCCGAATTGCAACCTGTGCGTGCGCAGATGCGCCGCTGTGGGTTGTGAATGTGCATCTCGCATGGATCACGTTTGCAACCAGAGCATCCACTGTATTGGAGCCTCAGCTTCAGGATCTGTCCTTCCAGTGAGCATTCGGGGCTGATTTCCTTGGATAGGGTTGATCTTCTTGCAGTCCGTGGGACTTTCAAGAGTCTCCTCCAGCACCAAACCCCTAAACATTTTGTGAATCTTTGTACAGTGGTACCTCGGGTTAAGTACTTAATTTGTTCCGGAGGTCCGTACTTAACCTGAAACTGTTCTTAACCTGAAGCACTATTTTTGGGTTAGCGGAGTCTGTAACCTGAAGCGTATGTAACCTGAAGCGTATGTAACACGTGGTACCACTGTACTTTTGTCCATTTACTGTATTTATTTCCCCCGATTTGAACTATAAAACTGTGATTTTCTTGGGTCAAGATGACGACGGAGGGAGATCTAGCTCCCCAGTTTTCTGTTTTCTCCAAGGCTGCAGATCATAGATGCCCGTATACCTGGGGGTCAGCCCCATGAGAAAGCAATGGGGCTGATTTCTGAGCAGGCACCAGAGAGCATGAAGGACCTTCCTCCCCTTTGCAAAGGATGCACAACGAAACAGGGGGAGTCAGGTGAGGGGGGCCTTTTGGGGGGGAAAGGCGAGCATCTCCTCCTCCTCCTCTTGCATCCTGGGAGCTGGAGTCCATCCCGGGCTGCGCTGCCCAGTGCAAACTACGACTCCCAGAATTCTGTGCAAAGAGAGAGAGAGAGAAAGAGAGCTGGCGTTTGAAGGGAGGGTGTTGTGCTTCCATCTGCCAGAGGTTTGATGTGGCTGCCCGGCGAGTCCCGGGAAAGGTGGCAGCGCGCGCCGGGGGCTCTCTAGGTAAAAAGCAGGGTGAGGTGGGTGGGTGGGGAAGAGAGGACTTGGACCTGATGGGCTGGGCGAGGGATGGTGCAAAGGGGTGGCGCGTGGCGGAGTTTCTTTGCGCGCAAGAACGCAGGAAGGCGCTGGCGCACCTGGCCATCGCGTGCGCACCTTTGCAACCCCGGGAGAGGCGGCGCCGCTTCTTATTTGCAACGGATCCACAAGGTGGGAAGGGAGGAGAAAGAGAGGCAGCCCTGAAGCCACCCGCCCCGATCCCAGGCTTGGCGTGGGAAGGAGGGAGCGGAGCTGATCCACCTTACCCAGCCCCAAGGCGCATCCATCCCCTTCGTTCAGGAGAAATGTGAGTGATCTGAGCGGTCCAGCAAGCGGGTGTAACCGAACCCTGGTCCAGACAACGTCAGAGCGCGACGACCCGGGTTCATTTTGAGTTCTCTTTCCTCTGCCGGAGGTGGAATCGCAAATAGAGTTTGGGTCCAGTTTCAAGCTCCAGATTAGCGGGGCAGATTTGTGCGGGCAGAGACGGGAACGCAGAGATAAACTTTGGGGATCTTTTTCCATCAGGCTTTGGGTTTCTCCTGCCGCTACTGGAAAAGAGATATATTTCCTCTCTTCTCCACATTTCTCCCTCGCCTTGCGGGCTTCATCCAGCCAGGTAGATCCGAGGCAGGTTTACCTGGGGTGAAGCGCCAGATGAGGCTTGCTCCCTTATAAGCGTATATTGGGCGACAGCCTCAATGGTACTTTTCTGTAGTATTTTTGTTGCCGTCTGAACGAAACTCCCGGACTTTTCACCGCTCGTTTTTATCTTCATTATTTCATAGACTAAAAGCAGATTTCTGTTATTTTTAAAAAATGTTTAATTTAGGATTCCATGTGCTCCCATGTGCTCCTATGATTCTCCAGACCGAATCTCCCTTCCCCTTTCTGCTCTGGGTTCCTGGCCACTCACCCCGGTTCATTGATTGATTGATTGATTGCATTGCATTGCATTGCATTGCATTGCATTTATATCCCCTCTGATTGGCTACAAGGAACTCCAGGTGGCCTACATGGTTCTTCTCTCCCCCCCCTTATTATTACTGTTTTAAATATTATTATTTTTTTGAAAGATTTCCCATAAGGAACAAGAGTACATTCAGTGTCTCTGTTTTCAAATTGTAGAGTCTTTCATAAAGGTCAATTACAGTCAATATGAGGCATTTTTTGTTGTTGTAAGCAATGTGGGGTTGAGGGGGGGGGCGAGAAGGGGGGAGAGAGAAGGGGAAGGAGGGTTGTCGTGAGAGAAGGCAGTGTCTGGGTCCAAGCTCACCCAGCGAAAGGTTCATGGCTGAGTGGGAGGATTTGAACCCTTATCTCTCCCAGGTCCAAATCCAACTCTAACCATTATACCACATTTCCCCCAACCCCCTTGCCTGGCCACTTTGTGGCGCCATGTTTATATTCCCCACTGTCTTGATCCCATTTCTGTACTTCTGCCAAGTTCTGCGCTCTGTGTGTCTGCGCAAATTAGCGAAATCATATGCTTTCAAGCCGTGTGGGTTTGTTTACGTGGCAGAACCCTGAATGGGTGGGTGTTTATACTCTCTGTCTCCCCCCAACTTGGTTTTCATTGTGAGCCTGACTGCACAGCGAAGGGGTGTTTTGCAACAGCTCAGCAGCAGAAAGGAGCCGGGACGTTTAGAAAGCAGTTTAAAGCAGCCTTCTCCAACCCAGGTGTTTTGGACTACAATTCCCACCAGTCCCACTAGGGGTGGAATGATGGGAATTGTAGTCCAGAACAGCTGGAGGGCCCCAGGTTGGGGCAGGCTGCTTGGAAGCGATGCCCTGCGCTCCAGGTATGTTCTAGAGAGCTTCAGTTAAAGATAGAAGCAAAATGCTAATCTCTAAATCCCGCAGAGGGAAAAGGCGCCACAGCCTCCCTCCCCACCCTTTTGTAATTTACATAACAGAGATAATTCGAGAGGAGCATTAAAAAAAGATCTGGTTAGCCACACACTCTGTGCCTTTATTTAGAAGTCCAGTGACCCCAATTGCTGCTCTCCTCCCTCCTCTCCACCCCACGGTTGGAAAATTCCCACTAGCAGAAAAAACAAGTTGTTTTCTGGGAGAGCTGGGTGAGGAGCGAAGGTGATCTGATGTTACATCCTGATAGTTCTGCTTTCCTAACTCCCGCTTTTCCTCTTCTTAAGTTCGTCTCCTGCCGGGATAGATCAGCCTGGAGATCGCTGCAGAAATGGCCCTGCTGAAATGTGGCTGGCTCTGGAGACAGAGTAAGTCTTAGCCTGGGAATTTACGGCTATACAAGAGGCCCTTTCTTCTTCCGAAGAGAGGCGGGGAAGCTTCTGGGACTGCTGCCTTTGCTGGGTTCATGATGGGGTGCTTCAGAGACTTGGGATTCCTTGCACAGTTTGGACCCCAAGCCCCGAAACAGTACACAGCCCGTTTGTGTCTGCTTGGGAGCAAGGGCTTACTCCCAGGTAAGTGGGGGCCACACTCTTTGTAAAAAAAAAAAAAACCGGCTAGAGATGGACAAAGCTGTCTTTGCTTCCCAGACACAGCTGGCTGACTACTGTTGAAAATGGGAAGGTGAACCAGGCACGGTCGGATACAGAAAGGCTCTTTTCGTACTCTTTTTGTGTTTTTAATATTCTGTTGGGAGCCACCATGGGTAGCTAGGGAAACCCAGCCAGATTGGGGGGGGGGAACAAATTATTATTATTATTATTATTATTATTATTATTATTATTATTATTTTATTATTATTATTATTATTATTATTATTATATCTTAGGGCATTTGGTACCAGCAGCAGAAAATCCAGGCAGCACTCCCCCAAAGGTGGTGGAATGCAACAATCCCTTTAACAATGTTCACTTTGCTTTGCTGTGATGATATTCCAACTGCCCAATGGTAGAACAAGCCCCAAAAATGACTGGGGCAACCCGCTCAGATGGGGAGAGGTATAAGCAATATATTATTATTAAAACCAGCTTTCGGGGATTTTAACTGACTGGTAGCCATTGCAAAATTGTCACCGAAATTTATAGATGTTTAGGAGGAGCAACTTTTGTCTTTAGGGACCTATCTATAGGCTTGAAAACTTTAAAAAAAAACCCATATACAGTGAGAAAGTCCAGGTTCTCAGAATTGTATGAGGTGGAACCGGCAGTTTTTGGAGGCCATTTACAATATGCATATTTTTTAATTGCCTTGGACTTGGTTTCCATGAAATAGCAGCATAACTATAAACAAATATTCTGTATGGAAGTTTTGGGTAGTAGTTATTTCCTAGATCGCCACACCCCCCCTTCCAAACATCTAGAGCAGTGTTTCCAGCTGTTTTTGGACTACAATTCCCATCATCCCTGACCACAGGTCCTGGTAGCAGGGGATGATGGGAGTTGTGGTTCAAAAACAGCTGGAGACCCAACTTTGGGAAACACTGATCCTGGAGTATCACCTGGGTTGTTGGATGTGCACAGATGCGTGGGCCGCATTTTGAGGGCTGCAAGTTCTCCACCCATTAGCTTACAGCGCAGTTCTTTTTTTAATTAAAAAAACCTTAAATTAAAAATGCAGTAAAATGGCTACATACCAATTAAGTAAAACAGAGAATACAGCACAAAGCAAGACATATACAGTGGTACCTCAGGTAAAGTACTTAATTCGTTCTGGAGGTCTGTTCTTAACCTGAAACTGTTCTTAACCTGAAGCACCACTTTAGCTAATGGGGCCTCCTGCTGCTGGCTCGTCTCCGGAGCACGATTTCTGTTCTCATCCTGAAGCAAAGTTCTTAAACTGAAGCACTATTTCTGGGTTAGCAGAGTGTAACCTGAAGCGTATGTACCCTGAAGCATATGTAACCCGAGGTACCACCGTAGTGTGACAATAGCAGCTACAAGGCAGCTCAGGAAACCCAACCACAATGTTTTGATTAAAACCTTAGAAAATAGTTTGTTTAAACCACCTGCCTATATTATATGAGGCAGGTGCCAGGCCAAAGTCCTTTTACATCAGACATCCCCAAACTCGGCCCTCCAGATGTTTTGAGACCACATAACACCTTGAAAGACCTACATTGACTCCCAGTACGTTTCTGAGCACAATTCAAAGTGCTGGTGCTGACCTTGAAAGCCTTAAACGGCCTCGGTCGAGTATACCTGAAGGAGCGTCCCCACCTCCATCTTTCTTCCCAGACACTGAGGTCCAGCTCCAAGGGCCTTCTGGTGGTTCCCTCCCTGCGAGAAGTGAGGTTACAGGGAAGCAGGCAGAGGGCCTTCTCGGTGGTGGCACCCGCCCTGTGGAACGCCCTCCCAGCAGAAGTCAAAGAGAACAACAACTACTAGACTTTTAGAAGACATCCAAAGGCAGCCCTGTTTAGTGAAGCTTTTAATGTTTAATAGACTATTGTATTTTAATATTCTGTTGGAAGCCGCCCAGAGTGGCTGGGGAAACCCAGCCAGATGGGTGGGGTATAAATAATAAATTTATTATTATTATTATTATTATTATTATTATTATTATTACTACAATTCCCATCATCCCTGACCACTGGTCCTGTTAGCTAGGGATGATGGGAGTTGTAGTCCCAAAACATCTGGAGGGCCGAGTTTGGGGATGCCTGTTTTACATGGTCTTCAAACACTTGACAGTCCATATCGATTCTCCACAGGCAGTTTTGTGAGGTTGGTGGGAGAGCTTCTTCCCTTATGTATGAAAAGAAGGGAGACCAGGTTTCATCGGAGGCATTTTCCTCTATCGCCGTGTCTACTTAGGAGCAAGTCCTGTTGCATTCAGCGGGGCTTCCTCCCAGGTAAAGGGGGTCAGGATCGGAACCTTATTTCTTTGTTCCGCTTCCATCCTGCATCTCTGCCCAGGCAGTTTGCCACTTTTGAATCCAAAAAATGGGGGAAACCAATAAGAAGTTAAAGCAGGCAAAATAATACAGCGGTACCTCAGGTTACATACGCTTCAGGTTACATACATTTCAGGTTACAGGCTCCGCTAACCCAGAAATATTACCTCGGGTTAAGAACTTTGCTTCAGGATGAGAACTGAAATCGTGCGGCAGCAGCTGGAGGCCCCATTAGCTAAAGTGGTGCTTCAGGTTAAGAACAGTTTCAGCTTAAGAACGGACCTCCGGAACGAATTAAGTTCTTAACCCGAGGTACCACTGTAATGAATATGATGCCCCCTTCTTATGTTGGCATGAGCTCCAAGTGCAAAGGTCTCCCCCTTTCCCTCGCCTGGCCTCCTCCTCTCCTCCTGTTTACTTGGAAGCAAGGCCCGTTGCTTTCGACAGAGGGTGGGCTGAGGACTGTAGCCTAGGCAACATTTTGTTCCAAACCGCTCTGCTCAAGGCAATCATCCACCTGAATAACTGCTGAAGCCACTGAGGCAGAAGAAACCTCTCCCTGTTCTCTGCACTGCCGTCCGTCCCCTTGAAGCTGGACCACCTGTTCCCACTCGCTGTCTCCAGAGAGATGCACGAGTGAGAGCAAACACACAGGGTCCCCTCTCCTCTCATCCTCCAGAACCTTCCACGGGGTCCTTGCTCAACGCCTGCTCTTCTCTAATGCAGAGAGACGCGGGTGGCACTGTGATCTAAACCATTGAGCCTCTTGGGCTTGCCGATCACAAGGTCGGTGGTTCGAATCCCCGTGACGGAGCGAGCTCCTGTTGCTCTGTCCCAGCTCCTGCCAACCTAGCAGTTCGAAAGCACCTCAAGGTGCAAGTAGATAAATAGGTATCGCTGCAGCGGGAAGGTAAACGGTGTTTCCATATGCTGCTCTGGTTTCACCAGAAGCAGTTTAGTCCTGCTGGCCACATAACCCGGAAAGCTGTACGCCGGTTCCCTCGGCCAGTAAAGCGAGATGAGCGCTGCAACCCCAGAGTCGGCCATGACTGGACCTAATGGTCAGGGGTCCCTTTACCTATCAGCCACAGGATAGCACCTGACATCTCCCCCATCTGGCATAGCTGTCAACTTACAGATTTGAAAATAAGGGACCAGCAGCCTTGAAAATAAGGGACCAGCAGCCAAAATAAGGGACCTGCAGCCTCACCTGTTCCAGGCACTCCAGTCTTCCTGTCCTCCTGCAGTCCGGTCAAACTCATGCTGGGTAGCTTCGAGAACACTGTCCAACCAACTTTGTAACCAGAGGTTCAACTGAATAGAATCTGAATCACATGCACCACAAGGCCTATGCAGCCTCAACTTAAGATGGCTCCCCGGCCTGGCTTTGCACTGCAAAGTTTGCAGCAGCACGTGCAACAAAATGGCATCCAGCATTCAAAACCCCCCTCAGCTTGCATTAACTAGCCACACACAAGGCATGCAAGCTCCACCCCCCAGTCGTTCTTAGACTTCTTATTGGGTGAGCAACACAGCCAAGCAACACAGTTGGAGCCTCCCTCCTCCCTGGCTGGCAGGGAGGGAGGGAGAGGAGCTGCTTCCTTTGAAATTTAAGCGACATCATTTAAGGGACATTTAAGGGACATCCATCAATAAGGGACAGCAGCGGGACATGGCGCTGGAATAAGGGACTGTCCCTTCAAATAAGGGACAATTGACAGCTATGCCCATCTGGGGGTGCAGGCCTGGAGAGCCTTGGATCTCGACTGTTTTCGCACACTAATACCCTGTCCTGTAGAATTCTATCAATTATATTTTATCTGCATGGTCGGAATGAATTTCTGGGACCGAAATGCTTTTTCTGGGAGGCCTTGAGCAGGAGAAAAAGAGGTCGGAATAGGCCAATAGATTCATGGACTGTCCCTCGATCAAGCAAGTTTTCTCCTTTGAGAAAATTCCCCACCCCACCCGACCCCATTGTATCACACCCTCAGTGGGGTCTCCTAAAACCCGAGAGAGGCGAGATGTGGAAAAGGGCCTGATTCTGTGTGATGATATTGTTGTTGTTGTTACAGTGCTACCTCAGGTTAAGTACTTAATTCGTTCTGGAGGTCTGTTCTTAACCTGAAACTATTCTTAACCTGAGGTACCACTTTAGCTAATGGGGCCTCCCGCTGCCACTGCGCCGCCGGAGCACAATTTCTGTTCTCTCTTTTTTTAAAAAAAATCATATTTATTAAAGTTTCCACAAAAGATACAAAAAAGAAAGAGAAAAAAGAATAAAATACACTTGAACTTTACTTTCATAACCTTCTTTCTGGGACTCCCCCCTCCCCCTCCCAGATTGTTTTCCCCTTTCATTAATTTGTTTCAACAAGCTCTTATTCCCAGTTTAAAACTTAATTTGTTTAACCCACCATTCAATTTAGTTATACAGTCGTTCCAATATCCCTTATCATTAACAAAAAAAAAAAAAGTTTTCCCCCAAGGTCCTCCCCAATTTCCTTCCACGAATTCCCTTTTTTAATAACCACATCCAATCAAAGTAAAAGATGTCAAAAAGATATAGAAAGATATAAAAGATTAGAAAAAAAAATAAAAAAAAAGTTACACAGCCTTTGGATTCAAAATCTCCCCCCCCTTCCCCGGTTTGAATTCCCCAAATCCATCAATCTGTCTATTTATCCGCCTGGAGATCTCAAATCCATGGCCAGCTTCCCCAGTTCCGCCTTGCCGGTTTTTTATTTTTTAATAATGTTTAACTTCAAACATCCAATCTTGAGAAGGCCCCCGAAGGGCCTTTGGTTTCCTTAGTCTTAATGGCTCCTCCCTTGTTCTTTCCAAGTCGTCGTCAGTCCTTTGTTCTTTTTCCTCACATTCTCTCTTTTCCTGTTCCGCTGCTAAAACGTTCTAATTCAGAAACTTGATACCTCTACAGAGGTTGTTGTTAGTTCAGGAACAAAAACCTACGTCCAGTCCCTTCCGTTCTTCAATAGATGAATCTATTGTCTCCTTTTAAAATAGACACCTCTGTAGACAAAATACTGTTTCATTTTTGCAACTTTCCCAGGAGATAACAAGTCCTGTACAATTCCAAGAGTATTTTTCCACTTACGACCGTTCTTGTAATGTCCCGAAACCCCTCTAGGGGGATTATAGTAACTTTGTTTCCTCTAATCCAAAAGCCAAATTGTTATTCCTTATTTTCGACAGTTTATATCCAGTTTATATCCAAATTGTAGCAAAACTAACCAGCAAGGTCCTCATAACAAAGTCCTCATTGTATTCTCCAACTTTGACAGCTACTTTGACAGCTGTCAAAGTCTCTATCTCTCTTCACCAGGCTCTCTTGCGGATCACCCCGGTTCCCGGGGGGGGGTTGCACTTTCATTCTCACCATCCACTTTTCTCCTCCAGCACAGTTCTTATAATTTCCCATTGTGGAATTAATAATTTTAATCAATAAACAGAAGCGAGCTCCTTTCTCGACCGACCTTAGTTGCCTGATCCTTGTTTTAAGATGTTTACAATCGGGGGACGACTGACTTCCTTTTTGGATCTCCCCCGCTCGTGCCAAATCCGAAAAATTTTCTCCCCTTTTTAGTCCGATTTCCAAATTACTCACGGGTTGTCGTTTATAGTCCAAATTTTCAATGGAAGAAGTCAGTGCTCTCCATCGAATGGCATGCGGCTTCGCTCGGCAGGGAAAGCAGAGGACTCACAGCACCACGCCGCTCCCCGGCACCCGTTCCGTAGCCTTTAAAAAGGCTCCTTCACGAGTCGGGAGGGCGCTAACGGTGCCCGCCGAGTCGACCATGTCCACGGGCTCCGTGCCCGTGGTTTTTGAGGGTCCCCACGTCACCGGCGCGGTAGGACCCAGCCCCTGCCGAGCAGGCTCCCTCCGGAGCTCGGAGGGAGTCCGCCATTCGGCGATGGCGCCAACCCGGAAGTCCTCCACAATTTCTGTTCTCATCCTGAAGCAAAGTTCTTAACCTGAAGCACTATTTCTGGGTTAGCGGAGTCTGTAACCTGAAGCGTATGTAACCTGAAGCGTATGTAACCTGAGGTACCACTGTATTATTATTATTGTTATTGAATTTATATACCATCCTATACCCAGAGGTCTCAGGGCGGTTCACAGAATAAAATATAAAACCACAAAATACATAATCAAAATAAAAACAATAGCCTCCCCACCCCCGCCGACATTTTGATATAACACCGGTGTTGTATATCTGCAATGTCTGCCCGTCCCTCGTTACCGTGATTCACACATTTATTCTGGGAATCTTCTTGGAGGTGCTGGGATCAGAAGCTGTTCTCCCAAACAAGTAAGATCCCGTGCTCCTTTGTGGCCGAGCGAGGGCTGCCTTCTCCATCCTGCTTCCTGGTCAGGCAGTGTGGAGACGTGTGTGGTTAACAGTCGTAGAATCGTGGAATTGTTGGAAAGGGATCCCAGGGTCATCTAGTCCAACCCGCTGCAATGCAGGAATCACAACTAAAGCATTCAAGACAGGTGGCCACCCAACCTCTGCTTAAAAACCTCCCAGGAAGGAGAGTTTAGCCCCTTCCTTCGCATCTGCTCACGAGAGCAACTTTTTCTTTCTTTCTCAAAACACCATGAGGACCAGAGACATGCCTGGAGGAGAAAAGCCTGAAATAATTTGTCAGTTGTTAGGCTTGCTGATGCACTGAATACAGTCGTCCCTTGGTTTTGAACAGCTTAGTTCTCGAATGTTTTGGCTCCCGAACGCTGCAAACCCGGAAGTGACTGTTCCGGTTTGCAAAGTATTTTTGGGCTCATTCAGCTTCCGATTGGCTGCAGGAGTTTCATGCAGCCAATCAGAAGCCACGCTTTAGTTTCCGAACGTTTTGGAAGTTGAATGGGCTTCCGGAACGGATTCCATTCGACTTCCAAGGTACGACCGTATTCAGGTATTATGTTGGAGTAGAAACCCTGGGTAGGTGAACAAGGCGGTTGCCTTGTCTTGTAGGACATTATTAATAGATTATATGGTGCGCTGCTCTAAAATGGTGGGTTCTTTTTTCCATAAAATTAATCGTTCGAAAAAGGGACAGGGAGCAACTCAAAATCACACGCATGTTGTCCGGAAGAATTGTACACTTTACACATTCATACTGCATATTTAAAGCGCTGTGTCGTGGCGTCTCCCAGAGAATTCTGGGAGCTGTAGTTAGTTAATGGTGCAGAGATGATGATGATGATAATAATAATAATAATAATAATAATAATAATAATAATATATTTATACCCCGCCCATCTGGGTGGCTCCCAACAAAATATTAACAAAATATTAAAAATACAATAAAACATCAAACATTAAAAACGTCCCTAAACAGGTCTGCCTTCAGATGTCTTCTAAAGAGAATTGTTAGGAGGTTCCTGTTCCCCTCGCAGAGCTACAATTCCCAGAGTTATATTTTGGAAGACAGATGGGTTGTTAAACCACTCTGGGAATTTCACCACTTCAAGGCTTCCTCTGCTCCCAAATCCCTTCGGTGCTTTAGCCATCCTACCTGCAGCTGCCACAAAAGCAAAATATAAACTGTATTTCTCTCTCTTTTTTTCCCCAAAAAGGCAAGCAAAAGTTTCCCATTGCTCCCTGCCCCTCAGCGAAACCAGCTTCTTTTCTCGTGTCAAATGCTTTTAGTAGACATTTGATCCCGGAGCCTCTTTGTTTATATATATATAAAAAAGCAGAACAGAAATCCAGCAGACTGGGCAGAATACGAGAGGAATATGGCTGGGAAACAGAGTCAGCAAACTGCGGAGGGCATCAGAGCCCCACAGGAAGCAAGGCAGCCTTTCTCTGTGGATCGTGCCCCTGGTTTTGGCTTGCAGACAGCTTTTCCTGGCTTTTTCTGGCTCCGGAGCTGTGCAAGGGATATGTAAATAGAGAGGCGCAGTGACCTCAGCGCTTCAAGAAGGGCTGGCAAAAAAAAGAGGCATTATATTTGCATACTGCTATATCATCTCCACTTTTTTCGTCTCCGTAGTCACCTTTCTCCACCCTTCCCTCTCTCTCTTTCTCCTTCTCTTTCCCCCCCCTTCACAATAATATTTATTATTTTTCCATACAAAAGCATAACAAAATCGAGAATAAACAATAATAAAAGAAAAAGAAAAAATAAATAAACATAAATTCAAATTTCCCATCTATCACCACATAAACTAAAACTTAGTTAATTGAAATCCATCTTCATAAACATATTACTTGACTTCCCCTAATCTCTTCCATCTGAGTTTATTAGTAATTAAATGTAGCAGTTTCCAATATCGTTATTTCATAAAACCGTATTACAGTCATAATCAAATTTCCTAACTTTTCTTATCGTGCATTTTCTTATTTATTTATTTAATCCTAGGCCTAATTAATTCTTTCAAGTATTACAATATTTATTCAAATGGTCTTTAAATTTCTTCCAATCTTCTTGGTGTTCCTCTTCTTTCTGGTTCCGGATTCTCCCGGTGAGATCAGCCAGCTCCATAAACCCCATCATTTTCATCTGCCATTCTTCTACCGTTGGTAATTCTTGTGTTTTCCATTTTTTTGGCTAGTAAAATCCGTGCTGCAGTTGTTGCTATGTACTGAAGTTCTCACCCTGGGCCAGCAGGGGGATACTGTAGATAGTTATGCAAATAAGGGATCCAATGTGACATTCAGTGATTGGATAGTTTTAGAAAGTTGCTACAGTAACGTTGTATTGGAGCTCTATATAAGCAGGCTGACTGAACCCTTCAGTTCAGTTCTGTCCTAGTCTGTGAATAAACAAGAGCTGTTTGAAGAATCGCTGTGTCGTCTGATATGTTCACCCACAACTTAACAGTTGTGGCATACAAAAATACTTTTACATCTTTTTTGGGCAATTCAGAACCTCTTTCTCTCTCTCTTTCCTCCCTCCACAGGCTCTATCCTGAGACGCTGGAAAAGGAACTGGTTCGTCTTGTGGGTCGACGGCACCCTCGTCTACTACCACGACGACACCGGACGCGATATGGACGGCCGGATCAACATCAAGTTCAACTGCCGGGACGTCCGGACAGGCCGCGAGTGCCGCGGTGAGTGTTCGCTCGTCGCTTGCGGACTGCGCCGACGCGCGTGATCCCGCAGGGACAGGGAGCGCTGGTGTTTTTCTGACGCCGGAATCGAAACCGCCTGGGGAGCCACCATTTAATTTTTCCTTAAACAAGTTGTTAGTCCTTAAGACTGCATCTGTTTGTTCATTGTGCTTATATCTTGAAAGACCTTCATTGGCTCCTAGTACGTTTCTGAGCACAATTCAAAGTGTTGGTGCTGACCTTGAAAGCCCTAAATGACCCTGGTCCAGTAGACCTGAAGGAGCGTCTCCACCCCCATCATTCAGCCCAGACACGGAGGTCCAGCTTCGAGGGCCTTCTGGCGTTCCCTCCCTGCAAGAAGCCAAGTTACAGGGGCCTTCTCGGTAGTGGCGCCCGCCCTGTGGAACGCCCTCCCACCAGATGTCAAAGAGAAAAACAACTACCAAACTTTTAGAAGACATCTGAAGGCAGCCCTGTTTAGGGAAGCTTTTTATGTTTAATAGACTATTGTATTTTAATATTCTGTTGGAAGTCGCCCAGAGTGGCTGCGGAGGCCCAACCAGATGAGCGGGGTATAAATAATAAATTATTATTATTATTATTATTATTATTATTATTATTATTATTATTATAGCTCACTTTTTCCAGCCCCCACCAAGGAACTTAAGGCTGTGTGCATGTCTCTCCCCCCTCCTCATTTAATCCCCACTGTGAGGGAGTTTGGGCTGAGAGGCAGCAACTGGTACAAGGTTGCCGGTGAGCTTCGTGGCTAAGTCAGGATTCAAACCCTGGTCTCCCTCTGGTCCTAGTCCAGCACTCTAACTGCTACACCACACCGGGTCTTCGAGTGTGGAAAGGGGCTGGAAAATTGGGCTGAACTGAATTGCTTCCCACTTGCACCAAGCCTTGATGATGATGATGATTTATTATTTTAATTATTTTATTCTTGGTTTCCCCAGCCACTCTGGGCAGCTTCTGACAGATAAGGTAAAGGGTAAAGGGACCCCTGACCATTAGGTCCAGTCATGGACGACTCTGGGGTTGCAACGCTCATCTCGCTTTATTGGCCAAGGGAGCCGGCGTACAGCTTCCAGGTCATGTGGCCAGCAGGACTAAGCCGCTTCTGGCGAAACCAGAGCAGTGCACAGAAACGCCGTTTACCTTCCCACCAGAGCGGTACCTATTTATCTACTTGCACTTTGATGTGCTTTTGACTGCTAGGTTGGCAGGAGCTGGGACTGAGCAACGGGAGCTCACCCCGTCACGGGGATTCGAACCACCAACCTTCTGATCGGCAAGTCCTAGGCTCTGTGGTTTAACCCACAGCGCCACCTGCATCCCCTCCGACATATATAGAAGCATAATAAAACACCAGACTTTAAAAACTTCCCTATACTGGGCTTCCTTCAGATGCCTTCTAAAAGTTGTAGAGTTATTTATCTCCTTGACATCTGATGAGAGGCCTTCAGACTATCAAAGAGGTATATTGGATCTCATTGCATATGTTTATAGCAAGCCGGTTTGCCAACATACTTAATATTTTTCATCATCTGTTCCAAGAGACCACATTAAAAACCCTTCTCGCAGTCCTTCCGTTGAATTGCCTGCCTTCCCTTTGCCTCTGGGGACCCACCTGATATTTACAAAACAGCTCTGGTTACATAATAGAGGCTCAGAGGCACATTCTCCGCGGCAAAACATCCTCGGGGGACGGTGCTGCGTTGCAGCAGAGAGACGGTGGCGGGAAGGGATGCTTCACCCTTCCCCTGCTGGATGCTTTCCCCCATAAACCCCTCCTCTTGTTAATAATAATATAATTTATTATTTATACGCCGCCCATCTGGCTGAGTTTCCCCAGCCACTCTGGGCGGCTCCCAATCAAGTGTGAAAAACAATACAGCAATTAAATATTAAAAACTTCCTGCCATCAGATGTCTTCTAAAAGTCTGGTAGTTGTTTTTCTCTTTGACATCTGGTGGGAGGGTGTTCCACAGGGAAGGCGCCACCACCGAGAAGGCCCTCTGCCTGGTTCCCTGTAACTTGGCTTCTTGCAGTGTGGGAACTGCCAGAAGGCCCTCAGCGCTGGACCTCAGTGTCTCGGTAGAACGATGGGGGTGGAGACGCTCCTTCAGGCCTACTGGGCCGAGGCCGTTTAGGGCTTTCAAGGTCAGCACCAAGACTTTGAATTGTGCTCGGAAACATACTGGGAGCCAGTGTAGGTCTTTCAAAACCAGTGTTATATGGTCTCAGCGGCCGCCGAGGTCTGCGTCAGCATCAGGCATCTTTCCTACGTTTATTTTTCGACTTGTCATTGCTGCCTAGGGGCAGGTGGTGTTTGGAGGAAGCCTTGGAGAGATGGAAAGGTGCAGGAAACATAGGGTTGTCTACAGCAGTGGTCCCCAAACTCTTGGCTCCACAAACTCATCCCCAGGGCCCGCTACCCTGTTTAAAAAGCATAATTCAGAACAGCGACCTGCACGACCCACTAAGAAAGACGATGCTATGATGAAATTCAAAGCGGGTGGAAGTTCTGCGTTCTCTTGTTTCAAATGGATAAACAAAATTCCAGCTCTTGCCTGATATTCCTTGTTGCCCTTCATAGCCAAGGAAGCAACGTCCCTCATCACCTTGGGAATCTGTGGATACTCCTTCCTTGGAGGTTTTTAAGCAGAGTTTGGGTGACCATCTGTCATGGATGCTGCAGCTGAGATTTCTGTCCCAGGTCCCTTCCAAATGTACAGTTCTGTGATTCAGTGAATTGTTGTTGTTGTTTAGTCGTGTCTGACTCTTCGTGACCCCATGGACCAGAGCACGCCAGGCACTCCTGCCTTCCACTGCCTCCTGCAGTTTGGTCAAACTCTTGCTTGTAGCTTCGAGAACAGTGTCCCACCATCTCGTCCTCTGTCGTCCCCTTCTCCTTGTGCCCTCCATCTTTCCCAACATCAGGGTCTTTTCCAGGGAGTCTTCTCTTCTCATGAGGTGGCCAAAGTATTGGAGCCTCAACTTCAGGATCTGTCCTTCCAGTGCGTACTCAGGGCTGATTTCCTTCAGAATGGAGAGGTTGGATCTTCTTGCAGTCCATGGGACTCTCAAGAGTCTCCTCCAGCACCATAATTCAAAAGCATCCATTCTTCAGCGATCAGCCTTCTTTATGGTCCAGCTCTCACTTCCATACCTCAATACTGGGAAAACCATAGCTTTAACTATACGGACCTTTGTTGGCAAGGTGATGTCTCTGCTTTTTAAGATGCTGTCTAGGTTTGTCAATGCTTTTCTCCCAAGAAGCAGGCGTCCTTTAATTCCGTGACTGCTGTCACCATCTGCAGTGATCATGGAGCCCAATGAATTAATTGCACATTTTTTCAAAACCCCATTTGAAAATGTTAGTTTAATCAATTCAGCTTAACTGATCCCGTTGTACCAGCTTTCCTCCCTGGGGCAGAAGCAACATTCCTCCCTCTGCCCTCTTTCTGTCTCTCCTCCCTCTGTTGGCGTGTTTTTGCTCTTGCACTGCTTGGTACCACAGTGCTGAGTCACACAGAGCATTCTTTCGCAGACAATGGATGGAAAGAAACAGCCCAAACAGAGGGCTGGTTCATGCAGCTCCATGCCTCTCCTTGCGGAGTCTTCCAGCAGCAAAAAATTAAAATTAAAAATTGCAACGCTCTGCAGTTGCCCAAGTGTCTGCCAGGTTCCTGCTCACTCTCTGCAGGGGATTCCGGGATATTGATGCATAATGTTCAATAAACTTTAAGTGACCTGTTCATCTCGTTTTTCCTCCCTGGCTGCAGCTGGGGCTGAAAGGAAACTCGCCGCTCTTCCAGCCCGAACGCTTGAAAAATCAAATTCCTCTTCCCAAAATGTGACTTTAAAAAACAAAAACAAAACTTTATTACATTTTTGAAATTTACAAAGAAAGAATAAAAAGAATAAATTGATCTTAAATCACATATTCTGAGATAAGGAAAAAAAATTGTACAAAATACATAGTAGAAATGTATAAAGATCTAAGATAAATAGGACAACAATGAAAAGGAAAATAATACAAAAAATATTAATAAAAAAGAAAAGGAAGAAAAATAAAAACAACAACAAAACTCAAAAGAGAAAAACATTTATCAAAAACAACATTATTTAAAGAGTACAAACCATAACTTAAATATTCTATACACAAAATCCTAAAAAGAAATTACCTTCATACTGGTTTGAGTCCCTTATAAATTTGTTGACTTCCCTCTATCTCTTTGCAGTTTCAACTCAACTATTACATTTAAATTAGCTGTATTTCATTGTTTGTCTGGACAGGATGAAAAAAAAAATTCCTCTTCCCAAAATTTGAGAGTCTTTTTGTCCCAACACCATTCTCAAATCTGTTTGATTCAGAATCATTTTTCATGCATGAAATTGGCATGGCTTTGAATTGCTTTATTGTTCTTGGTTTTCCCATGAAGTCGCTTCAAGGTATTTCATGGGAAGCGGAATAAAATTGATTCAGTACCTCGTTTCTTACATTTATATCCCACCTTTCCTCCCAGGATCTCAAAGTTGGGGACATAGTTTTTCTCCCTTCTGTTTTATTCTCACAACAACCCTTTGAGGTAGGTCAGGCTGAACGAGGCCGTGACTGGCCCAGGGTCACCCAGCGAGCTTTGTTGCTTGAGTGGGGATTCGAACCCTCCTCTTCCAAGTCTTAGTCCACTGCTCTCTTTCGGAGGAAGAGAGGAGAACTAGCCCCGCTGTACATCGGGGTGGGCTGTGTGGAGAGAGTCTCTTCCTTTAAATTCCTAGGAGTTTATCTCAGTGAAGACCTTACTTGGAAAATCAATACAACCCAGGTGGTTAAGAAAGCCCAACAGAGACTCCATCTCCTCAGAGTATTGCAGAAGAACGATGTCAATCAACATTTGATGATCTCCTTCTACTGGTCCATAATAGAAAGTGTCCTTTCATACTGCATCACGGTGTGGTACGCTGGTTTGACATCATCTGATAGGAAGTGC